AGGTATTTTCTCTGAGCATGCATGCACGATGGTGAACGGATGTTTACTTGACGGCAAAAAATATTCGCGACAGGATGCCACAACGTCACCATCTACTTGACATGTACCCCATCTTTCTAGCAACCCCTTTTTGAAAAAGTTTCAAGAAAATTAAATCAAGGAAGGAAACTCACCTAATCAACAACCTTAGACGAATTAGGGTGGAATGTGAAGGGTGGAGCCGACGCGGCGTGCGATTTCCTCAGGCGACGACCAGTTGCACGGAAGTGGCGGTGGCAAAAGTGACTTCGCAACGACGGCGACGGGGCAAAACGCGACGCTACTAGCGACGCGCGACAAGGTGGGAGGCGATATGGTATGTGATAGAAGACGTGTAGCGCAGCGACAACGACGCTCAGAAGCGGCGGTCACGCGTACACGCGGCGACGTGAATAAGATAGAAATAAGATAGAACAGGGAATAAGACCGAAGACGACGGCCGCGGACGAATTGACCTGAAATTGAATTCGATTACTGAGACTCTAAAGAAAACGGCGAAAATCTCCTTAAAATATAAGCACTAGATTCTCCAATTTCTCTCGTGTTATAACCTCGGCTCTGCTGTTTACTCTGTTACTATTATAAAAGATATTCTGCTGTTCGAGAATTTCAAGACGGAATCCTAATATCTGCGCTGGTGCGCGTGGCCAGCGGTCCCGCGCTTGTGGGCGTGGCAGCGACGCCGCGCCCCTTAGAGACGAGATATTCTACCCGGAGGCATAAACAGGCGGGAGGGTGCGACTGCATGCGTCATCTGTCATGTGAACAGATACTTCACTCGAATGATCTGTCATCTTTTCTTAGCCTGGTCAATAGCATGAATAGAATCCTCCCGATATGCAATATCCTGCCAAAAGCGCAGTTAGGAACTGATGACGTTTGGACGCGCTTACTTTTGGCTGCGAGCTCATTTATGAAGTGCCTAGACCACCAAATCCGCTGAAAACTTGTGTACAGGGGTAATTTAACATGCTCATTACGAATGACATTCACTATTGGCGATGGCCCAATGTAGGACGCTATGATTATCTGCGCTCTGCTAAGGCTGAGCCCAAAAGGCAATTCTAATGTCCTTTATTAGGGCCAGCGCCAAGAATGAATGTCATATTCGTAATCAGGATGTTGAATTACCCCTGTATAAGTTTTCAGCGGATTTGATGATCTAGGCACTTTGAAAATGAGCTCGCAGCCAAAAGTAAGCGCGTCCAAACGGCATTAGCCCCTTCCACGATTGCACGGAGCACGCGGTCACGCCGTCCTCGACTCCGTATGGAGTGTATCGAGGCGCGAAGGCAGGAATACAGAGTTGCCAAGTGGTTTCGCAGCCGTCCCGCACACTTCGCCATTGCTTCGCTGCGTTCCAGAAGTCTTCTGCAAAGATGACTCCCTAAATCCACCTCCCAGGATAACCCCTCTTCACGGTAAACAAACACGCATGACTGGGTAATCACAGCTTTTTTTTGCTCATCAATTTAATCCGCCTTTCACATAATCCCTATAAGCCGGTTCATTGGAATCGCAGCTGCAGGGGAGGAGTATTACATCAGCAGTCTCAAAAAGAGATTATGGTCCAGAAATAAATTACGAGAGGTTTGTTTACCAGCCCCATATAATTCTGATGATTAGCGAAGCCATGGCAACGAATGATATAAATATAGAATATCTATCTAATTAATGGAATGGAATTCTAAAACTACCATGTGCGCAAATGATAAGTTTCACGAAGAAGCCGCAGAAGATGTGAAATACATTGCAAAAAAAGAACCGTCTGCCCGGGAGGACAAAAAAAATTCTGCAGTCCTGGGACATCTTGGGAGGAAATTACAGGGCACGTAACAAGTGAAAACCCGTAGGTAACGTGGTAGCACGTGACAACACATGGTATGGAAATATGCAATCGTCCCATTAGAGCAACAAGTTTTGACGCGCGCAAACATCGACATTGTTGGCGGGAATTTGAACGCACAATTACGAACTTTTTCTATCTGTATCAACGAGAAAAGTGTTTCCCTCGCCATTGCCTATGTATGCATCTACTTTATGTGCACTAATCCTTTTACTCTAGGCCCCAGGAGACCGTGGAATCCTTCTCTCTCGTCAACCCTAATCCTGCGCAGTCACAAAAAGCGTCGCTCTTGTTAGATGTTGTCACTTTTCCCAGAGAATCCCGTCACAGATGGTTTCTGAATGTGACATTCCCAGTTTGGAGATGCATGGGAAGGCAGGATTGCTCAAGAAGGCGTACATTCGTTCCCTTCGGAAAACATGCCTTCACATTTTTTAACGGGGCCGGTGGCTGATTATAAAGAAGAAGGGAAGGCATGCGGCGAGTAAAGGCGTCTTATGCAGGTGTGCACTCGGCGAGACTGAGCCTACTAGGGAGAGGAATCACTCTCATGTCACCCTCCGTGGGAAGCACAGACAAGCACCCTTGATTTCCCCGCCGCGTGCTTCTCCTCCGAATAACCTCATTTCCGAGACAGAGTACAGTATCGCGAGGCGTGAAACGGCAATGTTAGTACGAGCCCCCTCTCTACCCAAACTTCCTCTTCTCGTATGGCCCCCTCCCTTCCTACCTAGCACCTCTCGAAATTTCCCCAAATTCCTATGAAAATTATTCCAGTTTTTCTTCAGTAAGGCGGAGGTGGTTAGTTGACCAAAGTGCCCGCTTACCACTCGCGCGCGCCAGGTATCAAATCCCGGTGACTCCCCGCCCAGGCCAACCAAGCCTTCTACCTCCGGGACGGTAAATTGGTACCAGATTCGTCTGGGAGGATAAAACACTGACTTGTACATCGGCTGGCCACCGCAAGTCATTGTATAGGCCAC